AGAAAAATGCTGTATAGAAATTTATATTCAGAAAATGTTATTAAATTATTAAATGATTATTTGAACACAAAAGAGATATTTTATAAAACAAACCACTCAGCTGCTGAACATAACGAAACTGATCGTAATATCGATTAAAAGACTGTTACTTTAATTAAAAGAGGAATCAATTTACTAAGAGGAAAATGCATAGAATGTGTTATAATCGCCAGACAATCTGCCTCCAGCTGTTGACAACATTTCACCTTTCTTGGCAAATCTTCTATTATCACAATGTAAGTTGCATAATAACAAAACTGGTTATTTACATTATTTACATTATTCAAACTGTTATCCTCATCTTCATTGGAATATTCACAACGTTTCGGATGTTGTACGCTACTGCCTTTTCAGATTATTGAAATTTCGAACCGAACCGTTTATTTTGTCGGTTCTTCTAGTTCCACGTGCCATGTCTCTTTCGGATGTCTCAGTTATTTCCCTTTAACTCAACTGCAAGTTTGGTTCACCACTGCTTTGACCTGTTATTGAATTCACAACACTTTAAGTCTAGTCACTGGATCTAACCAAAGTCTTTATCCACTGGGCTACTTGGAAAATTGAATTAAAGGGATAACTGAGATATCCGGAATGGGGACGGCACGTGGAACTTGAACAATCTACCCTGGGTGGACGAAATAAAATGTTCAATTCGAAATTCCAGTCAACTGAAGAAGGCCAGAGCGTACAACGACCGAAACGTTGTGAATATGGCAATGAAGATGAGTACAAAAGTCAGAATAATGTAAATAATGTAAGTAATCATAATACCTCATCTCAGAGATATAGACAGAAGCAAAAGCGGTAAAAACAAACAAAGACATAACAAAACTAAATTAAATTAGATAGACTATACGTCCAAAAACGTATAAAAACATCAAAAAATTAAATTTGAAAGTTTAACATATTTAGCTTCCCTCACCTTCGTGGGAATGTGTAGTTATATCAAAATAAACTTCACTTTAGTCCTATGAAGTCCTAACGGATAAAACGTGTCACAGGAAATATGTTTTCCTCTGTTTCATTAATTTTTCTTATATATACAGATATAAAAATGTATAAAGCAGCAACAGATTTTTATTTGAAAATATGTCTTATTTTTTTTTTAATTATTTCTTGGAATATTTAAGCATCTCTCAATTCTAAATCCTCAGTTTTTTTAGAGAGTAGATTCAATAAAAAAAAAACATTAAGCTTTCCAAATTTAGACCTTACGAAGAAGTGTAGACTTTTCTATATCTTTAACATTCGACTTGTTTAGTGCTGTGAGAAGGATGTCGACCCAGTTAGGTCGAGCCAGTCATTCGAGAAGGTGTTGTTACTTTCAGTTATACGCGTCTATCAGAAACAAAACGGCCAGTAATCAATCAAATGTTTCACTAAAGCAGTAACGTGTCACATTTGCATAGAAAAACGGGTACAAAGGAATACATACACACACAGAGAGAAAGATGATATTACAGTCATTTACTTGCTAAGTTTTCACATATGACTACGATCATGGGATAGCCAGTTAGGATCGAACTCATTACCTGGTAATGATTCATGTACGAAACAAAGATTGTTAACCCAAATATACAATCACGAGAGGGTACTGAACAATTTTCGACGAGATGAAAAGAAAAGCCTCCAAAATCTATTTGATATTTCGTCAGATTTTTAGAAGTTAGTCAGGCGGAGAACTTTTCAGCAACTCGCATATTACTGTTTCCTATATAAATTACGTATTGCAATGCTTTGAAACATTACTTTTCAATTTGATTCTGAAAGCGTGATCAAATAAATGGTCAAAGTTTCATTATGACAATGATTATAGACTTCAAAGATAATTAATTCAAATTTAAGAATACAACAATTAAATCATCTCAATTTTATTAAGGATCTTTTCATCTGCAGTCGAATTTCGATAATTTTCACATTCTCAGAGAATATTGTTCCAAGTGAATATGAATGTTTGACGGGAAAGAAATGAATATACACTTATCAAAATAACAACGATAATATTTTATTTAAATAATTGCATTTCTTTTATTTGGTAAAATTTGCAATAACATCGCAAAAATGAATTATACCTGCAAAAGCTATTATTTTCATCTGTCTATGAAATGTACTTTTTTAGAAAAGCGTCCACGTCGCTACCAAATATGACACAATCTTGAGGTTTAAAGTGGGTTTAACAGCAATACCGTGGAAAAATTTCCCAAGCCCGCTCGCCATTTCCCGTTTTGAAGACGCCTCAGGCAACGAGTAATAAACACAGTCTCTTCCTGAAGGGGGCTTGGTTTATCAAATTTTAAAAAAAAATATATATTTTTTTAAAATATGGTAAGTTCAACTAGTTGTGGCACAAGTCACACGCCTCGCCTTTTTTTAAATGCCATATCCAGTCAGTACGTTGGTGATCACGGTTCTACACAGATTTCGTTTTTTATATTTGCGAATTGCTTTCATAAAAATGAATTCCTGTTGTCTCCAGGAATTTGTTTTAGTATTTTCTCATCAGTTTTTGTTTCATTTGAAACTATCAATCAAGCAGCTTACTCTGTTAATTAACCCACAGCAAGAAGGACATTAGCGCAAATGTGAATGCAAACGATCAATTTGAAACTCGGCTGGCCGGTACACAGACAGAAACGCCAACCACGACAATGTTGATCTTGATTCTCAGCCAGTACCGCACAGGTATATCATTAAATATTATTACTGCGAGCAAATCCTTCATCAGGTAATTAGACTGAAATATTTAAGAGATTCTTTGGAGATATCATTACCACTAACCCAGAGTGAGAAGGAAGTACCTCATAATTCCATCATATATATATATTGCTGATACCTCTTGAAGAATGGAAATAGTGATTCACAGAGGGTCCGTCTACGAAACTCTGGAGTCGGGATGCTGAAGGAAATATCAATCAGCTAAGCAACAAACCGTTTACTAGTATTAATTATCTCTCTCCCTCTCTCTCTATTTATCTATCTACCTATATCTATATATCTATCTATATATATATGGATGGAGGGTGATTTAAATTCATTTTTGAACACTGAAATCTTACGCTTCGTTCTTTTTACATTTGGGATATATATATATATATATATATATATATATATATATATATATATATATATATATATATATATATATGATGATTATTTATTCGAAACTTATAACTTGAATGTTATAAAATCACTACAAAAATAGCCATTAGGTTTCAACACTTCAGGTGTCTTATCAAGTGATGGTGTTGAATGTAGAATAAAAGGATTTAAAAGGTTGAAATCAATCAAACACTCCTCGCTAGGAGGAACGCTGTTACATAAGCTGGAATGACCAATCAAAATATGAGAATTCAAAAAACTTACAACGAACTTTGGTTATAATAATTATTTAATGCTTTAATGTTAGGGTTAGACTAGAATAGAATTCTATACTTGAATATATATATATATATATATATATATATATATATATATATATAGAGAGAGAGAGAGAGAGACTCTCCCGTCGTTTTTCGATTATCACCGTCCAACAGGTCAGTTGTTAGAAACAAGCAACCAGATTATCCGCACATATGATTTGATTATAATGGTGAAGGCTTTTGAAGAACCGACTACACTAGTTGAGAGAATACAAAAAAATTGTTCCCCGAACGCCTCTCCTCCCACTGGACTACAGGGCTTAACCTGTCCTGCTGTAATCTGTCATAGCTGGGTGGGAGGAAAGCATTATAATTTCCCTAAGAGTATCAGCAATTATGTGGATGTAATGAACTCAACTGAAAATCCTGAATCCGAGTCGCTATCTATTACTCAACCCCGTGCCCCCGGGCCCTAAGTCAAAGTGCCTGCGACATGTATATGAGAACATCTGTTACAAAATAGCTGAGAATTCCATACTGAATATGGAAGCAATGACAAAGTGTTAGCGAAAATAGAGAAAAAAGAACACTTATACTTAGAATTAGAAAAGAGACAGTTGACATTTCTGGGACACATCATGAGGAAATACGGCTTGGAGAATATGAAACTCAAAAGACATATTAAAAGCAAGAGTGATACTGGGATAACCTATCTATGATTTTTGTATAAATGCTTGGCAGAACAGGGGTTAGAAGAGATAGCAAAAAGACAAATCTTACTAAGAGTTACAAGTCAGTAACTTATGGAGAGTCATGATCGCCCAATTCCTCTAGCAAATAGAAGAAAATTGCGAAATTAAAAAATTCAAGAATATTTAATAACAATTTATTATTGTTTTTATGCAAATGGACAACAAACAAAGGGAAAATAATAATTGTCAACGATCCAGTGTATGTGAATAAAGGGTCAAATCCGAAACGATATGCATTTTTTTTTAATTATTTGAATAATAGTACAAATATTATTCACATTATTTATATTCGGCCTCATTTATTTGTTATTACCGCAGCTTTCCAGCCGTTGAGCTCTCCGGCCTTCTTGAGGTGTCCGTCGATGAGGGTGAACTTAATGGAATTTCGAACTGAACCTTTTATTTAATCTGCTGAGGGAAATTGTTCTCGTTTCATTTAGGTTGATTTTGAGTTGATCTTTTTTTGTATTGCTCAGTTATTGTTCATTTTGTTCCTACTGAGCCTAAGTTTGCACTAATCGACCCAAAGATTGAATTCTCTAGTGACAGAAGTTACAACCAACAATCTTAAGAAAAGATAAAGAAACGAAAAACAAAAATTAAATTCTAATCACAATTAATTTTGTGGAGTTGTTTACTCTAATGAGGAATGTCCACGCGCAAATAAAATCTTCATTTTTCTCTTTGAGATTGTTAGACCTCCTTCATAAATTCTAGAGAATTTACGCTAAATTAATCTCTTCCGATAAAACGCTAATGAAATTTCATCTGAGAAAATTTCCTGAACCGTAAAATCTAAAAATTGAAGAAAAATTGATGAGAAAATAAATATATCTAAAATTTAGAAGTAATGTTAAATAAAATTATTTTCTTTCCTATATTTGTTGACGTAATCCGGGATCAAGTGACAGCAAATCCCAATAATTCTACAGTTCTTTTCTCAATATTCTTGCCTGTTATAATTATCAGGTTTTCCAAATCATTTTTGTAATGATCTCTTTATGGATTTTTCGGAGAATAACATCTACTGGCTTTCAAATCACAACAATTTGCTTTCTCTGTTCTATCATACTCCTGCTATTATTATTATTATTATTATTATTTAATTGTTCAGTTTTTACTCTAATAACACCAGAAATAGTTTGTTACAAAGCAAAGGACTTCTCCGTTCTCCTACAATCAGGATTCTAGGGAATTTTAGAAATGGTGTTGTCATTTCTCCAATGTATTTGAAAGATTCGTTGAAACCGTTGCTAACTCGCCAATGACAATTGGGTAAATTTCTTCAACAGTTTCTCGAATTCGTTCGCAACGTCTAATATTTGTTGCTTTATGCACTGACATGACTTTTGTCGCTAACAATAAAATGACAAAAAGTTTTCTTAAATCTCCAAAATTCAGTTTACCCTGCTTGACTGAAGTATTATTATCATTGTTGTTGTTGTTATTATTATTATTATTATTTGTTCTACATTCTTTATGACCAAATTTTATTCTTATTCTCGTGTTTCTTTTATTTTCGATTTGTTCCCACGAAAAAAGAGCATTTAGTGGCCTCCACAGACAATCAAGGAAATCATCCTGAATAGCCCAGAAAACTCATTTCTTGTCAGTCTTCATGACGCCGAGATCAGCAATTCTGACCTGGATTAAGTGGTGATCCCTTTGAAATTCATGTTAGGATTTTATTGATTTGTGCAGGTGCCATTGTTTTGCATGGTCAAATTTCATGGGTTTGCGCACTTCCTTGTGGATCACTCTTCCCACTCGATTATTATTATTATTATTATTATTATTATTATTATTATTATTATTATTGTTGCGGTTGTTATCTTAGTTTCTTTCTTTACTCATTCTTTCGTTTAATGTCTTTTCTTCCGATTTATATTTGCTTGTCATCATTATCATCATCCTATGTATTAAAAATGTCCACTGTTGTGGTAATATTGGTGTGATTGTGACACTATCTATCTATCTATCTATCTATCTATCAGTCTGTTCCTATCTATCTATCTATCTATCTATCTATCTATCTATGTATTATTGCGCTATTATTTTACTTGTTTCATACTACATGTCTAATGGATTTCACCTCGGATTGTGTAAGATCATAACTTTTTGTTCATTAAAATCTTCATAGGTTTTCTCACTGTGGTCTAAGGAATTTCACTTCTTACTTGAATCTCCAAGTCTTCATCGCATGATTATGATAGGTGTTGTTTTTATTCAAGTGCGAAAGTTATTATAGACATGACCATAACCGTCAAATTTCATAGTACTTTGAATTCTCAAGAGAGTTACTGATATTTTTCTATATTTTCGATCTTAGATCTTCATCCACTGGTAATACCATGTTTCAAATTTGGCAGGTGTTCATTTACTTGTTTTCAACGTCATCTGCGTATTTCCTATTATATCAATGCCACATTATTATTATTATTATTATTATTATTATTATTATTATTCAGTCAGTGATCGCAGCAGTAGTAACTTTCACTAGAGCTTAAAGTGGCATCAAGTCTGCTTAATATTACAATTTTCAGTATTCGTGATCTGCCCAATAATGGCGCCGTCTTGATGGTTCTAAATATCCTCCAGCATTCTCCTATGATTCCTGTTCCCAGCTGTTAATTTCATGCTCAATAACTTCTTTTTTTCTTTCTGGCAATGATGTTTCGATATATATATATATATATATATATATATATATATATATATATATATATATATATATATATATATACCCATCTACTAGGGCGGCTAGGCAATCCCTATTGCAGACGCTTGCTCAGGCGTTGTGTTTAATCAACACCCACAGAGCCCGCCTGTGGTTTATACTGCAACTGTGCTGAGCAGACATTAGCTACCGTTTCTGGGAAAGAGCGTGTTATCTAGCATGATCAACAATTTGAACAAGACCAGCACGTTCAAGCCCTCAGCCACGATGACTTATGACTTTGTGCTAGCACAGCTATCGACGGAACCCAAAAGTTCTGTCTACTTAATTTCACTCACAAGGCTTGGGACATGGTATGGTTTTCAGGAGCTTTCCAAAGTTGCTGCACGTTGGGATCGCCCACTCCAGTTCGATGACCACTCGGCCACATATACATATTTCGATATATATATATATATATATATATATATATATATATATATATATATATATATATACACACAAAGAAAGGGATCGAGAGAGAAAGTGAGAGAAAGAGAGATCACCTTTCCCATTTTCTATTTTACGTTTTCTTATTCATTACTAATACTACCACCACCACCACCACCACCACCACCACCACCATATCCGGTCTTTTAAACTTGATAGTATGATCATTTGAATTTAAAAAACTGCATCGGATTTTTCTTCTCTGGGACAGATTCTGCTATGTACATATAGCATTTTTTTCTATGGTCACTTCGCTACCATTTGCACAATTCCAAGTGGATCACCATTCATGTCAATTTTTGGATTCTTTCTGGATCATTTGGTTGCTTTTATGATGTTGGTGTACATTGACGTAGTCATTCGAAATTCTGCCCCTGATTCATGGTGTCCACAAGATCCTCGCAGATTAAATGATGGCTGTTTTCTAGAGATCTGCAATCTTAGTCTCAATTCCAATTCACCCTAAGCATTTTTTTAGTTTTCTAGATGGTGTTCTCATCATCATCATCATCATCATATTATTATTATTATTATTATTATTATTATTATTGTTGTTGTTGTTGTTTCCTTGGATTCCTGTTGCATATACCTTTCCTTCTGGGTCCCAACCAAAGACCTAAGGTCAGAAATGGTTTAATAAGATTTACCACTGATGATTTTTGAAAAAAAAAAAAAAAAAAACCTAAGACCACGCATATTTTACATAGATATAAATCTCTTCGTAACGTATGTACTGTATTTATGAGCACAATTTTTGGTATTTCATTAAGGTGTGGACTACCAGGAATCCCTTCCGTGAGTCATTGCAGTAAATCCGAGGGTTCCAACTACAACTGGAATTATTAATGTCCTCATATGCCATATATTTTAGATTTCCACTTCAAGATACTTGTATTTCAATATTTGTATTTTGGAAATTTTCAAAGATAGTTTATAAAAAAAGAAAGCATATTCTATTTCTGCGTTCTTTTATTATTATTATTATTATTATTATTATTATTATTATTATTATTATTCAGTAGGCTTCTATGTATAATGATTTACAAAATCGGTGTAACAGATTGCTATCGTTAACAAAATCATCATAATTCGATTTCTTCTTGATTATTTTCACTGGGGGTCAACTGACAGCAAGTCTCATTAGAACTGCATTAGTCTCCTTCGCTGATTTTATCGATGCTGTCGTCTAGAAGATTTTTATTCTTCACTGTTTCTCTGTTTCTTTCACTCACTTCAGATGTACGCCTGTAATGATGGGTACAAATGTCAGTTGTTTTAAAATTATTTCAGTTTTCTGACAAGCTTTCATTATTTTTTATTCGAAGTTGTAGTAGTAATAGAGACAATGACAGCATCTTAACAATATGAATTTAGCTGAAATTTAAATATAGTAGTTAGTTAAATTAAGATCGCTTATTAATATATAAAAATCATTATCATTATTTGCATTCTTATTAATTAATGCCATATTTTATCCTAGTTATTTCATACTTCTTTATAAAGAAACTTTGTTTTTACAATACTGTCTCCATTCTTAAGATTCAAAGATTCAAAACATCTAAAGAAATTTATCTGCAACAGAAATTAATTGTTCAATTACATGAGATTTTTATCGAAGCAAAGGTGCATTTTTATTTCCAGACTAGCGAGATTTGAAATAAAAACAATAATAAAAATAAATAAAAAGTTGGACTAGCGAGATTTGAAATAAAAACAACGAGTGGGAAAATATCTAGTTTGGTGGGGTAAGGGTTCTGATAATGGCAGCAGTAAGAGTGACACCCCACAAACAGGAGGGGGATATCAAGAAGGAGGAGAAGGAGGAAGAGGTGATGTGATCGTTAGAGGAAAAGGCTGAGAAAGGGTGCTTGAAAGTATACAGTTTGTTGTAATAACAGTTTATTTGTCGATCTCCCTTTCCCTGCCGTTTGTGTTAATTTTAGCCACTTCCTCTCGTTGTCGTTTATTTCGGTAACATCACCATCCGATGGCGATGTCACCATCACAGTCCATGCCGGCCTCACCGTCGCTAGAAGCCACTGCCCTGACATCTACTTCTTCCTTAACATCTTTGTCGGTGTCATCGCCGCTGTTGTCATCGTCTGCCTGCGTCTACCGACTGGCCCGACAGAGAACCCTTCAGCAGCCTACACATCGCTTTCGAAAACCCCATCCCCAGCAAAAACAACGACAATCTCTTCCTACACAACCGCTCCACACCCATCACTCATTTTCTTATACAACAATAAACAGTAACAAAAATCAACTTCAAAATGTGACCAACTCCTCACACTCTCTTGATCATCTGAATTTTAAAACTCCAGACATTACAACTTCAGCTTCCACACAAACAGGTCCATCTCATCTACTTTTAAGTTCAGAAAATTTAAATTCTCACAACAAAGATGGGGACAACGACTCTTCTCTCTATTGTCAATATCATCAGCTTTCCCATATATCGCCTCACCTTACCCGGCCTCTGGTTGCCCTTCATCAACAGCAGCAGCAACAGTTAGTTAATACAGATCTTTCCTACTACTACGCGACGCAAGGTACACAAGTAGAGAAAGAAACGTGCTATAGCGACCAGCACTCACGACTGTTTTCTCCGGAGCCGGAACAAGATAACAACACCGCTACCACCTGGGTAGATCGCAGTTGGGATTATCATCACATACAAAGCCAACCGTACCGTAATAACTCCAATCACGAACATTTCTCAGAAAAAAAGCTGGTAAATCACAACCAAGAGTGCAGGTTTGAAAACAGTGGCAGTAACAGTCAGTCTGATAACTTTGTCGGTTTTTCCAATCGAAATCTCAGTCTAACCCCCACAACGACGACGACAACGACTACAGTAACACTGTCACTAAATACAACAAATACAAAAACTTGTGGAATTATAAATGACGATGTACATTTCTATACAATAAGTCAAAATAACGAAATAAAAAGTCACGTTTTGGAGGATAAAAATCACAGTGCTAAAGTAATCAATAAAGAGACTTTGCCAGTATCCCATACAGGTTCGTTGCTGTTGGCATCAGACGAAAGTAAGTCTAGTAGATATTTCTGTAAGCCTGACTCTTCTACTGATGCCGGTGTGTATAAATTAACAGGCACTAGCGACTCAAACACTGAAAATAGACTTCAAGATACCCCTGAAAACCTCTGCAGCTATAACACTACCAATAATAAAATCCTTATTAATGATGACACTAGTACTGAGAGTTGGACCCATCCAATCGTCAAAGATGTGTCACCATTGACAAGTTTGGGCGATAACAGATGTGACGTCTATTCGGGAAAATCTAGTGCGCTCGTAGAAAAATTACAGGTGAGTGACAAAACACGAAATCAGCACTTGGAATACAGACAAGAATTATTCGGTGCCGTACGGATAAAAGTGGACAGTAGGGAGCATAGTGTACGTAAAGGAAGTTTTAATAATAAAAATAGTGATTACGATAAACTTACAAGGAACGATACTGATTCATACCAAATGCTGACCACAGCATGTTTGGCCGACCAAACTTCATCAGTAACACATGTCTTCAGCAATCACAATCACCAGGGTGACATACATTCAGTGAGTACTCACAGAAAAATAAACAGTAACACTAACAATAATATTACAAACAATAACAATCATAATAACAACAATGCGAACAATATCAAAAATTTTCCCAATATTAACAGAGGTTTAAGTGCTAAAGGCCTTGTTGGTGACATTAGCAATTGTAACAGTCAAATGATTACAAGGGAACAACAAAAAACACTGGGAGATCAATTATTTCGCTTACAGACGCATTACCCCAGGACACACTACAACCAGGTGGAAGGGTTAAATCGATCTGATTCTATTAATCAGCATCACCATCCAGAAGATCACGAGCAACAACTGGATAGATACAGCTTTCATCATCAGCAGCAATCACTTCATCAAGAAAATACCTCAGCGGACAACAATGTTGTCATTTATCCGTGGATGCGTAAAACTCATTCAAACACAGGTAAGATGTAAATGCACACCTGATTGAATGGGGGAAGAGAGCATTCTATGATAATTGTAATTGTAATACAAGAGCATTCTATGATAATTGTAATTTTATAAATTCAATATTCTATTATATTATATTATGTGTGTGTATGTGTGTGTGAAATTCTATATATCGAAATAAATTTGGAAAACAATAACAATAACAGAATGAAAAAAAATCATGAAATTCGTTTCACCCGCTATTTAAAAACAAATGCCTTAAAGAGAAAACGTAAAAATTTGAGAAGAAAAATAACATCAGTTCAGACATTTCGTATTCATATATATATATATATATATATATATATATATATATATATATATATATATATATATGTGTGTGTGTGTGTGTGTGTGTGTGTGTGTGTGTGTAAGACACTTTTTATGTGTATACGTTCTTTTTTATAGATACAAATATTGTCAGACTTATATATGTATATATATATATATATATCAATTATATATATATATATATATCAATTATATATATATATATATATATATATATATATATATATCAATTATATATATATATATATATCAATTATATATATATATATATATATATATATCAATTATATATATATATATATCAATTATATATATATATATATATATATATCAATTATATATATATATATATATATATATATATATATATATATATATATATATATATATATAATTGATATATATATATATAATTGATATATATAT